TACTAGTTGACACTAGTAAGAAGTGGGTAATCATTCGATCCTTTGTGACGTATTTATTATATAAGGTATATTCTGTCGAAATTTGCCGGTTGGTTGTTTGGACATTCAGTTTTATCTCCGCAAATTTTTTGACTAACGAACTCCTTGTTTTAACACTGGTGATGCTTTTTAAAACCTCAGTTAATGTTTCTGATTTGAAGGGTCACATCCTGGATACTGATTGTCTTTCGATAATCAAGAATGATCTTTTATCATCTCTAGATGAAATAATGATGTAGCATCACCTTCAAAAGCGGATTTTCACGAACTCAAATGACTTCACGAGAAAAATTAATTTGTGAGTAGTTTGCGCTAGAAGTTCTGCACAACTGAACCCATAAAATTTCTATCTGACAAGTGCTGGATGATCTGTCCATCTACTACGAAGCCTAAATCCAACGTTTTAAAATTGTCGGTTTGTGGTATTATATGACCATTCATCATGTTAAGTCAGTTGACGCTTTTTTGAGATTTCCCACACTAGAATGAAGTGGTTTTCTATCATCCTCTGGATGTAGATTGTCACACCATCGCTTTTCTTCAGTGGAAGTATTAATTTGTCGTTGATATGTTAGAAAAAGAAAATTTTACGGCAAGCACTTTCTTGTTAAAGATTTTAAAATTGGATATTTATTTAAAGGGAGCTAAAAGCTCTCTGGTAATGAAGTTGTTTTTATCCTAATTCACAAAATTTCTAAAGTTTACCATTGGCACCTGGACTTCTCAAAGTTACAACTTCTGTAATCCCAGTTCATATAACGGATGTTGGTTGTTGTGTTCTTTTATTTACTTTTCTAATTCGTTACATCGAAAAATAATGAGATAATAAAATCTGAGATTATTGGCATACTATTTCATTATAAGTATGATCATGACTGACTTCGTTTACGATTAATAAGACGACCTACTTTTGTTAATGGTAATTCACGTTCTTTTTCGAATGAAAGCATAAGGCTGTTATAGCTATTTAACAAAGGCCTTTTTTAAATCTGCAAATTTGTTATAGTTCGTTATTGCTTGAATGCTATTACTGATGCATCTTACTCGAACGGAACGAAGGATCCATGATTCAGCGTGTTATATCCGGTGAAGATTAGATTACAGGTAACTTCCAAGGACTATTCATGGACTAATATGCTTATTGTATAACTCAACAATTACACTATGTATATTTATATTCCTTTTATGATAAGCTTTATTTTGACCTATAATTTATTATTGTACGATTTACGGTTCTTAAGCTATACTCAGTCTATTAATTACTGCCCCCCTCGTTCACAGCCACTTTTTGGCTTATTTGTGTACACATGTTATTTTCTATTTTATGGTACGTTGTGGTCTGTCTGATTGATATATAAACCGAGTATGTCTGAAATAAACGATCTGGTCTGATTCGATTCATATTACGGAAGCTGGTATTGTGTTCTGGACTCAAGTGGAAGGGCTCGGAGGACATAGGACCAATAAGGACGCTAAACTGCCCACACCGGTTGAACGTCATTGGTTGGCCTAGTGTGAAGATTCGTATAAGTCATATTCGGATTGGTAGATAAATCGTGTGATAGAAAAGCCAGACATCCAAGGTCATGACACAGCGACTCGATAGCTATTCTGGTTCGTTGTCCCCGGCTCTGCTAACCCGATCAAGAAGTCTGGGTAAGGTGTAGAAAGTGTATTCTACAGACAAACAGCAGATAACAAGTCAAATCAAACACACAATCAAGCGTATTTATACAATTATTTACAATCGATATTGTCATAGATTTTTAAACATTAATCAACGAGTTCATTAATTGACCTATTTGCACATATAATCGATAGTTCATCAATTGACCTATTTGCACATCTAATTGATAGATTCATCAACTGACTGCTATTCAAACATTTAATCGATCAGTTCATCAATTGACCCCAATACAAATATTTAAACATTTAATCAATAAGTTGATCGATGTGATAAAATTTAAACATATGAGTTTGGGGATCTATCGTCCCCAACACTCCTCCCCTTTTTAATAGCGGGCTTCCCTGGGGTTAACCTGCATCTTGACTGTAGTTCGCCGCTGACTAATAGGCCACCTTCTGCGACGGGGATCAGCTTGCTGTTGAGCTTCTTGTGGTGGGGATGGAGGTAAGTTGAAAGTATCAAGCAAGATGTCGAGGGGAATATTTTCTCTTGTTGATGGGTGGTCTGGGGCTATCCGCTTACGTAGTTGATTTCGGTGTCTAGTCCACGTGTCTCTTCCCACCTTTACCTTGTACATAACTTGGCCTAGTCTTCCAACCACACGTGCTTCGATCCAAGGATCATGATTCGCTCTGTAGTCTCGAGCGAACACGGGGCATCCAACCTCGTACGCTGGAAGCTTCTGAGATTTGGTCTGAGATGGTGGTCGAGGCAGTCGGTGGTTAGGCATACGTAACACATGTCCCAGCCATCTCAACTGATGAGGTTTCACTACTTCATCAATTGATTTGCCATCCTTGCCTAGTACCCGTTTCCGAACAACTACATTACTTACACGATGGTCCCATGATATACGGGCAATATTTCGAGGACACATATGGTCAGATAAAAGTAACCTAGGATTATCTTCTACTCTTACCGGCCATGTTTCACTGCTATAAAGTAGGAAGGAACGAACTGCTGCGCAGTAAACACGTCCTTTGGTTGATATGCGAATATCTCGCCTACGCCATAAATGACGCAAGTTGGCAAATGCTAGTCGAGCCTTCTGTATCCGTGCTGAGATTTCGTCACACACAGACCACAAGGGCTGATGAGACCTCTAAGATAAGTGGAACAATAATTGTTCCAGACTTCATTGTTTCTGCATTTCCAACCCAATTGCTTTCTTTTCCCCTTCTTGATCTTCTCAATCTCCTGCTGCGGCATATTATATTCCTGACTCACGTTATATACTACTCATGTCAATATAAGTAGCACACACTACACTCGTCCCTCCTTTTAATAAGGTGTCGTCGTAGTCTTTCCGACTGCCGTACTGCTGTCTTCTTTGATGCCTTTCGTGACTCGCACTCATGATCTTAAAACCATCTCTGCAGTTGACTGGCATTTACGCGCTTCTGTTTGTCTTCTCTCTGGATCGTGTAAACCGAGCCAGGTCTCTCCGTGACAATGTACGGTCCTTCTAACTTCGGGATCAGCTTTCCTGACCCTGATCCCCCTGTTATATAACTCTTCGTACTCTACACTTTACCAGATCCCCACTGCAAAAGGCTTCCACGTTTACTTCTGTTGTTCCGCCTTCTTTATGCCTGATATTTGTTTTTTTCCACGTTCATTATTGCCTCCATCTTCTCTTTTCTTAACCTTGTTGTGGCCAAGTCTTATCGTGACTATCTACCATACATAAGCAGGCAAGGTGACTTCTTGGTTGTTCCTTGTATGAAGGAAAGATGTGCCAACAAAACCAATGGTAACTCTTTCTCCAATTTCCTCCTCTAGATGCTTACCATTCCTTTGACATCCGGTTGTTTCTATCTATAAGCCCGTTTGTCTGAGGGTGATACGTCGTAGTTTGTATCCTCTTGATGCCAAACTGCTTTAGACGGGCTTAGAACTCGCCACTTTCAAAACAGGGACCCTGGTCGGTTAATATAATTTTGATATTCCATGTCACGCTACATTATGCCGGATTACCACTTCGGTCACTTTTTCCCGCTGGTCTGCAATGGGTACGGCATCTAAACAACGTGTAGCAGGTACTGGTTACCGCTCACCGTCTGTGGAAACTATCCCACCACATCCACCGATCATAGATCACCGACTGCGGTTACTGGAATTGACTGTGATGGCGATTGTGTGTATCGTTGGCCTTTCATTATTCAACACTGCTGGCAAGTTAACACGTACTGAGCCATATCGTCTCTCATGCCTGACCAGTATGCACTTTGTCGTAGTAAATCCGTCGTTCTTGCGATACCTGGTGACACTCATGGATCATCTTATGCCACCCATCAGGTCAGGACTACATATGTTCTCACTCTTAGTCGTTCCTTTTGCCGAAGCAGCATTATTACCTCTTTGTCCATTGTTCGTTTGTCGACGTCTGCTCCCTCTTTTATCACTCTGATTACCTCTCGAAGGTTAGATTCGGCTTTCTGCTTTCGGACGAGTTAAAGTGGGTCTCCCTCTAAACTATTCACCGCGTATGTTGTCAATGGAAGCTCGGCTTCCATGTCTGGTATTGACAAATAATCCACCACTACGTTTTACTTCCCTGGAACATGGCCGATACTGAAGTCGTACTCTTGCAGATGTACCATCCATCGCGCCAACTTCTTTCGGGGGCCGCTTGCTGTTTTCAACCACTGCAGGGGTTTACGGTCAGTCTCGATGTGGAATCGTCTACCTAAACATATGGTCTCCATTTGTATACTGCCCACACGATTGCTAAACAATTCTTTTCGATCGCTGAATACTTTTGTTTAGCGGGTGTGAGAACGTGACTCGCATATCCCACCACTATATCAGACTGACTCAATACAACACCTATACCATAAGCACTTGCGTCTGTGGGCACTGTAAACGATTTCTTGGGTTCAAACACCCTGAGCGTCATCCGGCGATCTTCTAGCTTGTTTTTGATTCGGTTGATCGTTTGTTGGGCAGTCTCAGTCAACATAAACTTGATGATTCTCAACAACTTATATAGGGGTGCTGCTATTTCGTTGAAATTCTTGACAAACCGACTACATGATTTAGTTAACAAGAAACAATGCCATACATAGACAGGTATGTAATAAAACAAGATAACAGATGCAAAAATAAGCGTTTATTTATTTATCATCAACTATGAACAACAATATAAACACATCGTGAAATAATAAGCAAGCTAAAAAGTACAAAGAAGTAATGAAGACAAATATGTGTCAAAAAGTAGAGAAAATAAACAGGTGATGGAAGAAAAGGCTTTTTATTTAATAAAGGAACGCAACTACAACTGCTTTTTATCTTCATGATATGGACTCGTTTTTATTGATGTTAAATGACTATCAACAACAGATACAGAAATCAACAACTGACCAGCATAATACGTTGGTAAAATTAAATTACATTTAAATGACGATATATCACTAGAGAATAAACAAATTCCCAATATAGTATCAGATACACCAAATAGTAATCCACCAACGGCAGAAGCTATACATGTCCATGGTATAGAATATTCATGTTTAGTTAATTGGGCTAATGCACGCCATACCATAATTACTAATATTAATCCATAAGCTGGAATAACAAGTGTATTGATACCGTCTAGTCCTTCTTTTACAGAAACACATACACAGAGAAGTATTGGCAGTAAAATGAACAATATAGATAGTTTTAAACGTTGAAAACCAAATGCGTAAATGTATAATATATGTGTAATGGCAAACATAGCCATGCCAGGAATAAGAAGACTAGGCCATACCAAAAATGCATCGCCTAGACAAGAGAATAGAAGACCAAGGAAAATTTTTAAAGAATAGGCTTGATTGTTTGGTATCTTAACCCCATACATATAAACAAACGCAACAAGTGATAAAATAGGTGCGCATTTAAAAACACAATAACCCACAGTCGACTCATATTTCGGATAAAGAACATAGAATAAAGCAAATGTTTTAAAGAACAAAACTAAACGTGGTCCCAAACATTTGACCTGAAAAACAGAAAGAAGGATCAAGTGAAAGTAATGCTAAAATTTTGATATATCGATAAAAAAATTACAGAAAGATCCAACATGACTTGAATCATTTGTATTGGTAGTTTGCATTTTTTTTAAAAGTTGAGGGCTGCAATCGATCAGTCTGTTATTGACATATGTGAATTCTGTGTGAATTGCCTTGAAATTGCCCTGAGTCGTAAGCATGATAAGCAGAGATGAATGGTGGCTAGCAGTGTAATCCAGTACTTGAGTTTCGTCCTATTTGGGTTTCATCGGCTGGATGTACCTGGGTCCCACAGTTGAATCTCATGCTGGAATTCAGGTACATCTAGACGACGAGTCTCAAATGGGACGAAACGTGATTCCTGGATTACACTGCTGACCTTTATTCATCTCTGCTTATAATGATTTGAATCGGTTAGTAATCTTAAATAATTTGTCAATGTTTAGCAGCACAATACCTGTAAGACTGAATAATTATTTTACATTAAAATTTACATAAGGTCACAATGAAAAAGCAGCTATTTAACAAACTTGCTAAGTTAATACGAAGAGATATGATACATTCTCCTACATATATAACTATGGCGGTAAATAGATAAATAACATCAAACATTCAATGAAAATATGCACTAAACAAGACGATATATGCTGAAAGGTAATCCGACGTGATATCAGACATTGTTTGCAGTGAAACTAAAAAGAATGAGTGCAAACGAAACCAGTCGATGAATTCGTACAAACCAACTTAAGCGGGAGACTGAAGTACTCAGTTTTAAATCAAAAGGTTTTAGGCTATAATAACATCCCAACTACTTCAATATTAGATAGCTAGATTTTAATACTAGTGAGATATCGGTTTTCAGTCAAGAAGCGAGTATACTGTGCAGCAGTCCGCTTTATATCACTCTATGACTGAAACTGTCTATGAAAGTATAAGACGTCTGTAGGCTGCATGCTTTTATCATGGCTGTCTTCGAAGCACTGCTCGCACCTCGTAGAAAGACTAAGTTAATAATCCTGCTGTCAGAAACAGGGTACTAGGTAAACTGAGGAATCGATTAACGAGGTACGAACACTGCATAAGTCGGACCACTTCCTAAACCGACAGACGACAATTAGCTGAAAAAACGAAATTGATGGTTGAATCAAGACCAGTCATTCAATTTCAAGTTTAAACAAAACGTGGTATCAGTCCATTAAGCCATTGACTGTTGAGATGAGTCAAGATGGTGGATTCACAGCACTCGCGGCATTCCCAACAGGTCTTAGTCTAGGGCAGGTTGGTACATTATTTCATCTGCAAGTTCAGCTCGTGCTGTTGTGCTCTCGATGTCCTGGATAATGGGTTGTTGATCGAGGTCAACCGACACTAGGGTTGATTTTGTTTAGTTGTTTAGACTATGGCTTAACGATCTAGAGTAGTTTTCATGACACATTACCTGATAGTGTACGTCAATACTGATGAAGTATCAGATCTGAACGGTTTTGGTCAGATTCCCTCGATTCCTGGAGTTAATAGACATTATATGGAGAGGCCTGATTACTTTTTGGGTTTGACGGATGGGAGAAACCAAGACACACCACTTACCATAGTCGCATGTACGCCTGGTAATCGCAACAACGACAGTCACCGTTGTGTTGTGTAAATTCGGTTGTCCGAACTTCTACATATTAAATTGCTAACCCCAAAAATCACTGTGCTGGACAGTTATTGACTGTTCATCGATGGTTTTCTTAGGACATCCCTAACCATCTACGGTTTCTCATATCTGAGTCGAATGTTTGAAGACCGTTTAATCGCTGCCCTTCGAGACGTAAAGATAGTCTTTTTTGGCAAATTAATGAAGTGATCATTCCTTAGAAAAAGGAAGAATCACTGGAATATGTTCATCTCTACTGGCTTAGAACAATACAGACCCAGTTTTTGTAAGATTAGGAATGCCTGTAAAGCGTTAATAAGCAAGACTAGACTATCATACGAAAAACAATTGGTTAGGGATTCTAGATATAGTCCGAAACGGTTATTCTCGTATATAAAAAGGCGAACTAAGAGAAGCGATGGAATTCCATCACTTTTGATACGAGATAATCCGTTAATCTTAGCAGAGAATGATGCCGAAAAAGCGGAAGCTTCATCGGAATATTTTAGTAAAGTGTTTTTCATCGGTAATGAGGAACGACCAACGACTCATCGCGACCGTGACGGCTCTCTGATGGATTCTGTAGTCATTGAGAAAGATACTGTTTTGAGGCTACTTCAGCATCTCAAACCTGATAAGTCCAGTGGTCCTGATGATATTCATCCTAGGATTATGAAAGCCATATCAGATGAAATTGCTGAACCATTAGCGATACTATTCGACATGTCTCTGAGACAGTCCAGACTTCCTAGAGACTGGAAAGATGCTATAATAAGTCCGGTGTATAAGGCTGGGAATAGGGATTTAGTTAGTAACTATAGACCCGTTAGCTTAACTAGTGCAGTTGTAAAACTGATGGAGAAAATCATTCGGATAGCTGTTATAAACTATGTTGAAGGGCAAAATCTTTTCTCTAGGGCACAACATGGTTTTCGGAAAGGCCTATCTTGCTTGACAAATCTTGTCATTGCACGAGAAGATTGGGCTGCGGCAAAGGATCGGAATACTCCTGTGGATGTGATTTTCATAGATCTAAGTAACGCCTTTGATAAGGTTTCCCACTCTGGTCTTAAATTCAAACTGGAACGTTTTGGAATCCATTATACAGTCGTGGATTGGATAAGTAACTTTCTCCATGACAGGAGACAAAGGGTAAGGGTTCATGGGGCTCTCTCCTCGTGGGTACCTGTAAAAAGTGGGGTTCCCTAAGGTACAATCCTAGGTCCTCTTCTCTTTTTACTTTATGTAAATGAATTGCCAACTGTAGCAAAATCATCCGTTCTACTCTTCGCTGATGACATAAAGATTTGGAGACCCATACATAGTATGTCGGATAGAATAGTATTACAGGACGATCTTAGCTCATTGGTGGCATGGCTAGACAGGTGGTCACTAGAAGTAAATCCTAATAAGAGTGTAGTGATGCAGTTAAATAACTCTGATGAATCGTATGACTATACACTACGTGGATTCGTGCTACCCAAAGCAAGAAACTATAAAGATTTAGGAGTCATATTAAGCAATGATCTCAAAACCACTAGTCACTGTAAGGCTGCTGCTGCGCAGGGCTATAGGGTATTATGGTCAATTCGTAGGTCTTTCCAGTATTTAGATGATGAAATGTTTAGATTACTATACCCGATTTATATGCGACCACATTTAGAATACGGGATTCAAGCAGCGTGTCCTTGTTTCAAGTATGAAGCAGATATGCTAGAAAGAGTCCAACGACGAGCTACTAAGATGGTACAAGGTCTATCTGGCCTATCTTATGAAGACAGACTGAGACATCTTAACTTATTTCCGTTATCTTACCGTAGAATACGGGGTGATCTAATATTGGCCTATCGTATACTGAACGATGACCTTAGTATTAACATGTCTTATCTTTTGCTTCGGTCTAGAACCGATCATTCGAGAGGACATTCGAAGAAAGTTCAAAAACCGAGATCAAACCGTTTACGTCTGGAGTTTCGTTTCTCGCACCGAGTAGTGAATTACTGGAATTCTCTACCAGAACACGTTATATCAGCACCATCTGTTAATATATTCAAAACGAGGTTGGACCTCCACAGTATTACAAACTGCAAGGATTAATATAGGTCGATAGACCTCCTATTCTTACTGGAGACTGAAGACTGGAGAAAGGACTTACTCATCGTTGTATTTTAACAACTGAGAAGACGCAACCACAAGCAAGGCAACCATAGTTAGTTTTCGGACTGATTGGACAATTTCTGTACTTTTCCAAAAAATGACTGCTGATTCAAGTAGGTAGACAGCATTTGGTTGGTTCGTCCAAAAGTTATAGTCTCGCCATGTAATCATATTGAAAATGACATGTTCGCCCACTGAGGACAAGTGCTACATAATTCAGACTATCAATAACGAAGGCCATAACCTATTCCTAGAGGTATAGAAATCAGCTCTTTTATGAATCTTTTGGACTTATATGGTCTCCTAATAAGTGTTTTCATTATACAAAACCGACTGAAGGAATATTCATTGATGGATGGGTATTTTGGACAAACTTTCTGAGATGAAGTAAATTTACGTGGACGCATTAGAACAATAAACTCATGACTACCTCATGAGTCAAAAAATGACAATGCCTTACATCTTTTTAAGGCTAAATTCACTTAAAAGCGATGCACAGACTGGGTCTAAATTTATTTATCTTCTGACAAGCAATCATATTAAAATATACAGAGTATACTTACAACAGCTATTCGACTGATTGGTTCGAACGTCAACATTGAAGTGAGCTCTAAACGCAAAGCCGGTTCAAATGGTTGTGGACGGAATAGAAGAAGCTTTCGCTTAACAGGCTTCCGTGTCTAGTAGCAGGGGATCACCAAATCCTCCAGGCAGGAACCTAGGTATGTTAACAATAAAAAGGAAAAGAAATTGGTAAATCATAATGTGATGCTGTCCTTGGTCCTTAAGAATAGGTCAAGTTGCCTCTTGAAGGACTCCTGAGAAGTCGCTTGGACTAGCTCGGCCGGCAGCGAATTCCAGCTTTTGACAACTCTTAAGGAGTAGAAGTTGTGTCTACATTCCGTCTTGCTATGTTGTGTTTCCAGTTTCTGGGTGTTACCCCTTAGGTTATTATTCGAACTAAGCTTAAGTAGGTGTTTAAGAGGATGTCCAGAAGTGTTAAGAATACTGTAAGCCATTAGTAAATCACCTCTAAGACGCCTATATTCTAGTGGGTAAAGGTCTAGTGAACGGAGGCGTTCTTCGTAAGGCTTAGATTTGAGTCCTCGAACTGATTTCGTGGCTCGCCGTTGGATACGCTCCAAAGTGACCTTGTCCTTCTGGAGTGAGGGAGGGAGTACTATGTTTCCGTACTCTAAATGGGGACGGATAAAACTATTGAAGATTGTGTGGAAAGTTCGTCCGTCAAACTGTCCAAAAATGCGCTTCAACGTTACCAGTGCAAGGTTTGCTCGGAAGGCATTTTTGTCACAGTTAGCGTAAGACTTTAAGTCATGGGGTACCAGGACTCCTAAATCTTTTTCGACTTGGGATACTACTAGAGAGGAGTTTCCTAAGTTGTAACTGTAGTTTGCGACATGTCGCAGATGGACTACTTTACACTTTGAAGTGTTAAAGGTAAGTCCGTTATCGTCTGCCCAACTTTGAAGTCGAGTCAGATCCTCCTGAAGTGCCTGTGTATCGTCTTGGTTGCGTATCTCTCTCCAAAGTTTCACGTCGTCGGCAAAAAGTAATAAATCTGACGTCACCTGTTGAGGAAGATCATTTATGTAGATCAAGAAGAGAAGAGGCCCTAGTACTGAGCCCTGGGGGACCCCACTAGGACATTCCATAGCCTGAGATAAAGTGAAATTAACCCTAACCTTAAAGTGTCGATTTTTTAGGTATGAAGTAAGCCAATCGATTAGAGGTGGTTTGATACCTAGTCGTTTGAGCTTGTTGATAAGACATAAGTGGTTAACCTTATCAAAAGCTTTTGAGAAATCAAGGTAAATGACGTCAACCTTTCCCTTGCAATCGAGGATGCTTGTCCATTTATCCACCGCAGTCAGAAGGTTGGTTATACAGGAGTAACCCTTCCTGAAACCATGCTGTTGGGGTGAGAAGAAATTTAAGGACAGTAGATAGTCATTTAAACCGTCGCATATCAGGGACTCCATGAGTTTTGAAGGTAATGACAGAAGAGCCACCGGCCGATAACTTGAAGGTTCATTGCGTCGACCACCCTTGAAAATTGGTGTGATGTGAGCCAACTTCCAGTTTTCCGGTAATTTGCCTCGGCTAAGCGAGTGTGAAAACATCACGCTAAGCGGCGTTGCCAGGATTGAGGCTGCCTCCCTCAGTATGGCAGGATGAACCATATCCGGGCTAGGAGAAGTGTCAAGTCTTAAGTGCTGCAATTTCCGGAACACCAAGTCAGCGCTTAGGTCCACTTCAGAAAGTCCTGTGGAGTTGGAGATGAAACTGTCATCAATAAAGTTGATGTCAGCCGGTTGAAATGTTTGAGAGTAATGGGCCGCCAGAAGGTTAGCGGCGTCGCCGTCGTTGTTGGTCGGGCCGTTAAGACCTAGCAGTTGAGAAACTCCTGTTTTGGCTTGACGAAGAGACGCTGCATAACGGAATAGGCTTCTAGGGTTAGAGGCGAATTTGTCCATAAGCTTTGTTTGGTACTGAAGCCTGTCTTCTCTTATAGCCTTCGTGCATGTGTTCCTGATATGTTTGTATTGCCTATACGCTCCATCGTTATTAGTTCGTTTGTATTCCGCCCAACAGTGCCGTTTGCGGCTTAGGAGGCGAAGGGTACGGTTCTTGATTACTGTAGGTGGCTTGAAGCTTTTGGGAACCGTTTGAGGAACTGAATGGTCTGTAGCACATAAGAGCGTGTGCAGTAAGAAGTCCCAATGACCATCCACATCGATTTGAGGGTGAACATCCCAAACCACCTGTTGTAGATAGTCATGTAGAGCTGGCACATTCAGCCGTTTAAAATTCCAACGCAAATTATTGTTGGGATACCTTAGCTTAGTTTTGATGACAAAACTGAAGGCTATGACGGCATGATCGCTCTTTCCCAGAGGAGCCAGGATTGAGAGGTTGTCGACTAGGAATTCTTCGTTAGTGAATACACAGTCTAAGCGCGATGGTGTCTGACTGTTTCTCCAACGAGTTGCCGACCTCACATTTTCATATAAGCCCAAGTTATCGATGAGGTTGAAGAACCGAGCTTCAATTGAGTTGTCGCCTCCAGTGTACGTGTGTTCCGCGAAGTTGACTCTAGGGAGATTAAAGTCCCCTAGAATCAGGATGTGTGTGAAACCGAGACGGATAGAGCGGGATAGTCCTTCCAGCATACGACTATCGTACTCGGTGTCGGCAGTTGGCTTCCTGTAAATGACTCCGACTAGACACCTGGAAGTACTAGACAATCTTACAGAGCACCATATGGATTCCTCAAGATTGTTAAACTCGAGGTTGTGAACCTGGTGCACCTCCAAGCAAGAGCTTATGTATATGGCTACTCCGCCCCCAATTCCTGTTTTTCTGTCGTTGCGGAACAAAGTCATCCCAGGTAATGCTAACTCTTGGTCCGAGAACTGAGAAGATATCCAGGTTTCAGATATTCCTATCAGATGGGCCTTATTAGCGCTGCTAAGTTCACGTAGTTCATCCAGTTTGTTTGGTAGACTCGCGGCGTTCATATATAAGCAGTTTATGCTTTCAATTTGGAACGCGTGAGCTTCGTCCTGTTTTTCTGTATGAACCTTGTGTGAATGGACAGGTAGCCCACCTATGTGAGGTTTGCCGAGGTGGTAGGCCCTGTCCTTTACACGTTTTTTTTATCGTTTAGACAGTCCACAAGTGGAATGGTCAGCTCCAACTTGCCTTTGTTCTTGGTCCTAACTTCGTATGGCCTATCCGGGTGCATGTGGATTCCAGGTGGCAATCGACGTCTATTAGCACGAAATGCTTCCAGAACTGCAGCCGCCATGTGGGAAGATGGGAAGGTTATCTTCATTAGACGGGGTCTAAGATCACCGTCCTTCTTGGCTAGTCTCGTCACATGCTGAGTCAGTATGTGTTTGAGCCTCAAGGACTGTTTGATGAATTTCCATTCCCTGATGTCAGAATTTGATTGAGTAGGGTCTGCATTTTCCGGTATACCTTGGACAATTATGTTTCTTCCGCGGAAAAACTTCTCGCGAGATTCTTTAGGGACGTTTCGTATGATACTGCGCTCAGAGTACGGTATGTCGGGCAGTATTCTTACGTTACCATCTGATTTCAGCAAGTGGCTTGCTAGCAAGACGTCCTCTACGTCGGTAGCATCCTTAAGTGTTACTCGGAGAAGCCTCGGGTGATTTAGATGCTTAGAATCCTTTCCTCGAGTGAGCCGGGTGACCGTCAAAGGCTCTATTCTAGGAAGTTCAAGCTTCTTGTTCAATTCACCCCAGAGCATCCTGTCGTTTTTGTCCTGCAGACTGAGAGGAAGATCAGGATTGTCAACGAGGTTCATGATAATGAGAGAATCGTCACGAACTGTTGTTAATTTACCAGGTTTCACGATGGGTTCAGGTTTAGTAACTTGTTGTTTGGAGGTCAGTGTGCGTTTTTGAATCATGGGCTCTTTATTGGCCGGACGAACAGTCTTGGGGGTAGACTGTGCGACTAAATCACCAGTTATTTTCCGTGCAGCAACACTTGGGTTGCTCGGCTTAGGCAGTGATGCCTGGTTCTTTTGGGCTCTCTTAACGTGGGTCGAATCACCTGCAGGGTTTTTGGGAACCACTGTTGTGTTTGGGGACCCTGAGCTGGGAGACCCGAGTTTGCCTAGGGAGTTCAGTACCGTCGACGTAATGATGGTACTGAGCCTCGACACGTCGTCGTTAGTGTTGATGGATGCGCCGTCGATGGAATACCTATCGACATCCCTGTTTTTGAGTCCGTTGCACGCTCTTGTTTGTATATCAGTTTTTTTGCTATCGTTTTCCAAGTTAACTGACAACTTGTTCCGAAGACCTGTCAGTAGGACAATGATGTTACTCAGCAAGACTACGGAGTCTGTGTTGCACGTGACACACACCCACTTTTGCTCTGACTTGCTGAGTCTGTTGTAAGCAGTTGCTGTCAGATCTGTGCATGCTTCGTGGAACCAACCTTTGCAGTTGTCGCACTGCATGCCAGTTGTGACAGCAAAACGGCATCCCGGACGTTTGCATGAGTTTTTCATGACGGTGTTGAAGCAAATTATGTTATAGATGCTTGCAAGAGCCTAAGACCTTTAAAAAAACACTAAAAAGCACACTGAAAACGGACAAAAATGGACAAAACGAGTGATATAAACTGAAACTAGTCTATACGTGAAAAACAAAAAAAACCGAATAGTAAGCTGAGGCAAAACCACAGGTAACTATTAAATATAGTGAAACTCAAAAAAAAGTAATCTACCGAACGTATAGCTCAGGATAGATTCTTTAGAACTGAAATGGTACTTTTGTTGCGTAAGAACACAGCAAAAGTTTGATAAATGCAAATCACGTTAGGACTAAACTTCCCGTTCGAAAAGCGCGCCTCACTCAAGGTTATTCACCCCGCCAACTGTATACTTCAGTCTTTTCGAAGCAGACAAAGTAGATTGATTCAAATGGTTCAGATGGTTGTAGGTGGAATAGAAGAAGCTTTTGCTTAACGGGCTCCCGTGTTTGACAGTCTGTAAGAGTAAGTATGTCACGGCCAGCTTTCTTTTGATAGCTTTCACTGT